CTAAATGCCTATCAGCATTGTAGCATAGTCATAATGCATTTATTTGCTCCCTCCTTGGGCAGGTAGCCAGGAAGTGTGGGCATGGAGAGCTGTACAGGGCACAGTAGAGTAGTGCTGCAGGACTGATCAGAGCTGCATCTTTTGTCGTCACACTGATGACACAGGTCAGGGAACCCCATGATGAAGAGATAAAGCTAAGTTTGGGGGCCTATCAGCATTGTAGCATAGTCATAATGCATTTATTTGCTCCCTCCTTGGGCAGGTAGCCAGGAAGTGTGGGCATGGAGAGCTGTACAGGGCACAGTAGAGTAGTGCTGCAGGACTGATCAGAGCTGCATCTTTTGTCGTCACACTGATGACACAGGTCAGGGAACCCCATGATGAAGAGATAAAGCTAAGTTTGGGGAGTGCCTCTATCAGAGCACATGTGCCCCAGCCAAAATGCCACACGGGTTGGCAGGCTCCCTTGCTAACTTTTAGCCAGTTGGTGATGGTACAGGAAGGGCTGTTTATGGTTTATTAAGACGTTTGAGTTTACATGTTATGGCAGCCTCACATGAGGTATATGGAAGCAGTCACTATTGGGAAGGGCTTGATGGAAGAGCTCAATTCTGAGCTGACCATGGAGAGCCCTGGCCACAAGCGATTAACCAGCTAGGTGTCATTTTACACTCAGTTGCTCGGGACATGGAATTGGGAGGGGACAGGGAGGAACCCCTGTGGTCTCTAGAACATGACTTTCAGTAGTTGTGGTTTGAAGAGTCAGAGACAGCCTCCAAGTCTCATGTGGCATGCCAGCACCAGAGATTTTTACCCCTGGGAGTATCTGTGACTGAAAAAGCCCATTTAACACAGTACATTGATTTTTTGCCTGGGCAACTTCTGTGATCTATTTTATGAGCATCTGCAATGTTCACGGTAAATGAAGAGGAAGGGCATGTTATTTACCTGCATGTACAGGTCTGTACTGGCAGACCATATATATTCAAATGGACATAGGACACTTGTCAGCTGTGGCAACTGCACCACCGTGGCTATCTAAACAGTATTGTTGGAAGATTTTACATTTGAGGGGAGCTTTATGTGAATGTATCAAAAGCAGATGCCAGAGGTGATGTACATGTCTGAAGGACTAGGGCAGGACAGGGGTCATACACCAGGCATGTTTTGAGGGTACCAAGGAATTTCCATATTGGTCTTCTCTTGCTGACCTAAATTCTATCTGTTCCTTTGAAGAGACATTTTGGAAAGGGTAAAAATTTTTTACTGAGTGTGCTACAGTAGTAACAGTTTAAAAACAGCAAACCATCTAACCCTCCAACAAACAACTTGCTTTTTGAAAAAAAACAAAGAGGCTCTTTCCCCCCCCAAATATTTATTTTTTACAAAGTTTTGAGATTACTATTTTTTAAGTCTTGGCAGGTGAGACCTGGGTCATGTTCAGGTCATTGTGCAGAACAGGTGCAGCACACCCTAAAGCACTTCACAAATTGCAACAGACAAGAGGTCCTCAGGGTGAATCAGATCATGAATGCATGGGCCCAATATTCAGGTACCCACAGATAGTGCTCCTGCCCTGACCCCGAAACCATCTCTTAGAAACTCCAGCAAGGTAAAAGAGCTGAATGGAAACATCAGTCCCTCTGAAAATGGACTCAGCACCCTCTTTCCTTGTATTTGCCCACCCTCAGCAGGCTGGCTGGGAGCCTTGCAGTTTGCATTTGGACACCAATAGCCAGGATCTGTCAAATGAACTTAGAGGTTTGGCAGACACAGTTTCAGTTGCTGGACTCCTGGATCACAGCTCTGAGGAACAAAAGTCTTAAGTGTATCTCTGAGCATTTCTTCCCTCAGCAGCTTCCCTTCTTGGTGCATTTTCCATCTTTAAGGAAACTTTCAAGGTTTCCTTCCACAGGGAAAAGCTTTAATTCTTCAGGTCAGTGGGGAGGGCTGAGGTCTTAAGACAGCTAAGAGCTAGAATAGAAAAAACACCTCTCCATTTCCATTCCCCCTTTCACCTGCTTTCTCATTCCCTTGCTTTCCCAGCTCAAACACACAGCAGTTCCTCCACCTTATCCTTCTCTTCCACATCAACTGTCTAGCCATTTTGGAGAGTGTGGCCTTTGTGTCACCAAAGTAACTCCTAGAAGGAACGTTACACTGCCAAGATGACCAAGAAGTGTTCCAGAAGAGATCCCCAAGGGCTGCCAGACTCTAAGCCGCAGGGTTTGGCACTCGGCCCTCAGCATGCGTAGTCTCTGAGTCCCAGCTCTCTTTGTGTTAGTCTGGGAGCAGGAGAGTGGGTGCTGACAGTTTTTCTCTTGGCTTTGGGCGGGCCAGGGTGCCTTTCAGCTGCACTTGCAGGATTTCACCACCATATTGGAGAGCTGCTCCACTTTGGGGGTCCTTCCTACATAGTACAAGATAGTGAGTGGCTCCAGGTCCTGAGGAACACAGCAGGGTGAAGCAGATGCCTCAGGGTTCAGCGTGTTGTATAAGCCTAGAACCTGCAGAAACAAAGTAAATGTGGTGAGCAAGTCAGGAATACATTGAGGACAGGCTGAGGACAGGAAGGGGCTACAAATTCAACAGGTCTCTAGGTGTCTGGACTGTGTTCATTAGAGCAGGATCTGGCACACTGTCTTTTAACTACTTAACAGGCTTTGGGGATGAGATGGTAAGGATACATCCTGTTCTATCACTCATAATATTTTCCTGAGGTGGGTGATACTCCCCTGTCACCTCCTGACCACGGCCTTCTTCTAAAGGGTCTCACCTGTCCTGGCCTGACTCTTAAGACTTATTTTTTTAAATAGTAGTAGCCTTGTTCTCTGTGGCTGACGCCTAAGGGTTGAAGGAGTGCAAGTAGTTGTCTCCTTTCATCTTTAATTTGGTATGTAGAGTGTCACAATTTTTGCTTTTAACGAGGCTGGGTGTAACCAGCCTGGGGCCACATTGTCTTGTATTCCATTAAAGAAAGCAGAAGAAAGAATATCAGTGCTGCTTATTTCAACTAACATCTCCAGATAGCAGTGGATGGATGCCAGTCTTGAGTATCCACAATTCCCTCCCAGCTTTGAACTGTCTGATGCCTTCTCCCTCCATTCCATCCTCCAATCATTACACTATAATGCTGGAGCCAGGAGAGTGTCCTGTGGGACTCCACTGGATTCTTCCTCCCAGCTGGCCCCAGCCCACAGATGACTCTACACTGCAGCCATGTAACCACTACAGAACAGTTGCCATGTTTCTTGCCAGAGGTGACCACTTCTCAGCAGTAAGCAGCTTCTTGAGTTGTGGGGCCAAAACATGATCTCACCTGACTACTGTGGTCTCTTTAGTGCTTATCTGGTATAAATAACAGGGTCTGGCACATTGTCTTTTAACTACTTAACAGGCTTTGGGGATGAGATGCTAAGGATACATCCTGTTGTATCATCCAGATCCATGTAATTGCAGTTGTTGTGGTAGAAACTCTCTGGGATACTGAGTAAAGTGCCCCTGGTTGCACCACAGGGTATCATATGCTCTACTCTACTGTAGGTTAAGACAACTGGTGAGAAGTTTTCTTTTTGCCATGTTTTTCCTAGGTGGTGCTGGCAAGCTGTCAGCAGCTATATTGTTCTACAGGTTTCTTCGATCACTGACCTTAATGCTTCATTATTTCCTTTATTGCTCAAGAAAAGAACATTAGGAACCATTCTAAAATCTCCTTTCTATCACACTGATTCAGTCCTGTTATCTACTAGAGAGCTTCTCAGGACAACCAGATGGTAAAGCTACATGCCCATTACCCTTTCAAAGCTGTTCATTCCCTTGCTTTGTCTTGTGCTTAATGCCCAGCATCTGTTCACTCCTTCATTCCCACAGATCAGCTGTTCCCACTGATACTAGTCCTTGAGCTTCAGTGAACCTTGCTGTTGTGCAGACTCTCAAGAAAATGTCAAGAAAATGTCAGCATCTTTTCAGCAATATCGTCTTTATCTAGTTATCTGTTCTTCAGCCAAATTTGCTGTTTGAATAAATTTTTTAGTGAAATCTGAAGCCAAGTTGCTATTGAGATGGTGCATTGTTTGGATTGCTGTGGGCCCTGGCACTGGATTTTTCCTCTGGATTTTCCTGCTTCAGCAATGGACTGTCTGCTCTTTAGTCTGTCTTCTCCTCCCATGCCTGTGCTCTTCTATTGTTTTTATTTTCTTCCACTCTAGGCAGGCTCAGATTGTATTCTTCCTGAAGACTGACCAGTATACTCATGTCAAACAAAGATTGTATGTTAAAGACATTTGCCTTCTGCCAGTTTTTACTCACAAATCTCACTGCCTAGTGGGTTCTCCCTGCTGTAGGTCAGATGGGATTTACACAGCTGAAAAGGATACCTGTGCAGAATGGAGATTTTACTGAATGGATGTGTTTGCTTCTGGACATAGACATGGATTTCTCTTCACTTTTGGGCCACAGTTGCCCCTGTGGTAGCAAATGGCAGGCACGTGCCATTGCACAACAGTTTTGCATGGCAACCTGGCACAAAGCATAGAAAAATCCTCTGTCCAGTGCAAACTGCAGGAGACATTTAGGCAGAAGATAACCAGAACTGACATTTGTCATGAACAATTCACTTAATACTATGGCCATGGCCAAATATGTACCCTAAAACCATCAGTCATAGAATCACAGAATGTTAAGGGGTCAGAAGGAACCTTAAAGATCACCTAGTCCCAACCTGTCCTGGGCAGGGACACCTCTTACTAGACCAGGTTGCTCAAGGGCTTATCCAACCTGTCCTTGAACACTTGCCTTGCCAGGGGCATCTACAACCTTCCTAGGCAACCTGTTCCAGTGCCTCACCACCCTAACAGCAAAGAATTTCTTCCTAATACCTAACCTAAATTTCCCCTTTCAATTTGTACCATTTACTCCTTGTCCAGTCACTACAGTTCCTAACAAAGAAGTTGCTCTCCAGCTTCCCTGTAGGCCCCTTCAGATCCTGGAACGTTGCTATGAGGTCTCCACACAACCTTCTCTTCTCCAGGCTGAACAGCCCAAACTTTCTCAGCCTGTCTTTGTAGGGAAGGCGTTCCAGTCCTTTTATCAACTTCATGGCTCTTCTCTGGATTGACCGTCCTCCTCATGGTCCTGCTGTTTCACATCCTATCCAAGAGACAACAGCATCCTTCTCAACGTTTGGCTGAAAGCCTGGACTTAGTATTGACTCCAAAGGAAGCATATTTTCCCTCCTGAACCACCTAGACTTTTTTCTGCAGTTTCCTTGGAATGTTTTTTACAAACATTGATCTGAACTGCTTTTGCTGTGTTGAAGAGACTGGATATTGTTCAGACCTAGGGAGGAAGGGGGAATCACAGCCACAAGTCCTGACAGGATAACATCCTGGACATACCGTGCTGTGAGTGGTGTCTGCACTTCGGAGGTATGGACAAGGGCCTGAACAAAAGTTAGCAAAGTAGCCCTTAGGCTCATGGACCCATTTCCAGCCAAGGTCCTGTCGGAAGTCAATGTACAGAGGACGCACACAGCAGTTCTCCTCCAGGTTCCTGAAACACAGTATTGAAACACAGTGACTCTAAAGGGGAGCCTTATATGCGATGGTCAGATAAAGCTTCCTGAGCAGAAGGACTAGCACACCAGCAGTGCCTGGTGCGACGCAGTGTTTACGTGTGCTGAGTGCAGAGGAGCAGCACAGGCAAGCAGCAGTGGCAGCTCAGCAGCCTGGTGCTGCTCATGCCTGCTGGCAGGTGGCTCACCCACTGCCCCAGGGAGGCAGCACCCAGCTACTCCAGGAACTAGCAGGGGGCTGCTGCAGGTCCCTGCCCAGGCTGTGTTCCAGAAAGGTGCTTGCAAGTCTCCTTCTAGCCAGTGGCTCAGACAGAAGCACACAGCAACTCTGCTGAACTGGTCAGGGTCCCCTTCTTGGATACCACGAGGAGCAGCTGGCTGAGCTGCACTCCTCATGTGGCCCTTCAGGCACCACGGTGACCCACAGCCCCCTCGGAGGGCTCTGTCTTTCCCAGTGTCATGGAGTCTCTCCAGGCTTGCCCACCTCAGGCATAGGATCCAGGCCGGATTCTCACTTACCGGAAACAGTAGTTGGTATCCAGGGCCCGCTTCTTTCTCTGGCCACCCAACACTGGGCTCTCCAGTCGATGTGGTGGTAACATCATCAAGATGAGGTGGGGATTATGCAAGTCTCTCTGCTTCTTCAGGCGCCCCAAGTCCCCACGGCCATAGTCATCCTCACTGTCAATGCCTTTAGAGAAAAACAGGATGCCCAAGGAAGAAATCAGCATGGAAGTGGAGGATGCAACAAGACTTTTCAGTGCATTTAACACTCTCATGCCTGCTCTTGAACCAGGGTGAAAGGGATTTGGGCACCATGTCCACTTGCTCCAGCACTTCTTCCCTCACAAGGACCTCTTTATTTCTGGTGAATCTGACTGCTGCAGGCCTGAAATACAGGCTTACGGGCCACCTGTTTTACCATTTGCAAACTGCTGGTGGGGCCATTAATCCATCCCACTCACTCCTGGCTTTGGTCCCAGGACAGGCAGGAAGATGAATGGTTTAAAGAAGATGTCAGATAATTGGCACTCTGCAGAACAGCCTCAGAAATGGAGCCTGTGGGGGCCAGTGGCTGGGG